AGGCATGTGTGTGCATTTGATGGTGGAGCTGTTCAATATATATATGTGCATGTGTGTGTACATGTGTGGTATATGTATATATCAGGTGTCAACATCTGGTGTCTTCCTTGCTATTTATCTCTCTGTCTTATTTTTAAATAAATTCTAAGAATTCTTGTGCCTATGCAATATATATTATGCATACCCCTCTCCCTCCCTTACTAAAGCTGTCCTGATCCTTTGTAGTACATATTCCACCAACTTGACTTCATGTCCCTTTCTTGTTTATAGCTCAATAGTTCTAATTACTCTTGTCCATATCTGCGCATGTGTGGGCCATGAAAAACCTACCAATCCTAGGCCCAAACCCCATATAAGTCAATCTTCTTCCTTCTCCAGCCATTAGCTACCAATATCTTCCCAAGGAGGGATGGTCAACCGAAGCCCCTACTCTATTCTAGATCATGTTTGTCTAACTTAAAGCATAATTAAATAATAACTGCCCTCTGCTTCCTCCCTCATGTAATTCTCACATTAATTCTCACACAAAATAAATGACCTCCCCTTATTTAACCATTTTTGTAACATATACATGAAATTAATCAGGAGGTGGTATATTGTTGTAAAAGAAAGTCAAGCAAACCACAGAGAACAAGCAACCAAGTACCCTTCCTCCATGGTCTCTGCTTTGGTCTTTACTCCAGACTCCTGACTTTTGTTCCTGCCATGTCTCCCCTTAATAATGTACTGTAAACTCTGTGTCCTTCTTTAGTTATTTTTGGTTATGGAATTTATCTCAGCAATAGAAAACAAGCCAGGAAATGGTACTTCTACAAAGCACTGCGAATGAATGGTAGTTAGATGAAGTAAAGGAAACCAAAAAGGAAAATATATCCTAGATCCCCAAAGCCAATAAAGAATCAAACTGGTGGTATTATCTTTACAAAATTAGAATACTTAGATACTACCCTTTATGTGTAAGGAATGTATGTATGAATGCCGAAGGCAACATTCATGTACAAGAAAAAAATCTACCAAACCTTTACCTGGGGATGACTTCTTGGCTCACAACAAGCTGGCAACAGAGTAGAACAAAAAAAAATGATGATCTGTATTTATCCCTAGTGGACTTTAGGAACCCATTCGCCATAGAGAGATGCTCTCTCAACCTAGACACATGGGGGTGTGCCTAGGTCCTACCCCAAATGATGTGACAGATTTGATGATCCCCAATGGAAGGTCACCCTCCCTGGGGAGCAGAAAGGTGATGGGTGGGGCTTGGTGGGGGACATGGGAGGATGGGAGGGAGAGGGAACTGGGATTGATATGTAAAATAAGATTGTTTCTAATCTAAATCAAAGAAAAATGTAACACAGGAGGGAAAAAAAGAAACACATGATCTACAAAACACAGATGTATGCTTGTTGTTGGGCCCTCTAAAAAATAAATTATCATCTTAAAATATCTGTTTTCACTGAGATGTGGAATTTAGAGGGGGGAATTACTTGTAAGTAAAATATGGAGTGTTAAGAACATGGAAGGTAATGAGGAGAAGTAGAAGAGGAAACGATCAGGTAATGGAGGTGTTAAATGCTTCTAAAATGTGTACTGACATGTAATAAAACCCATTACTCTATATTTACTATACACCAATTTTTTTCAGGGTAGGAATATCAATATACAAAAATTAGTAATGTAGGTATACACAAACAGTAAATACTTGGAGAGGAAAACAAAAAGTTATACCAGTTCCATCTAACACAGTGGTTCTCAACATCTGTAATGCTCTGACACTTCAATATAGTTCCTTGTGTGGTGGTAACCACCCAAACATAAAATTACTCTCATTGTTACTTCATTGTTACTGCTATAAATTGTAAATATTTTTGAAGATAGTTAAGGAAGGTGGGCCAGGAAGTCTGAAAGCCCATAAGAAAAAAATTCCTCCAGCCAGACCACACTTCTGAGAGCTCCAAAGCCTTCAATTAGTACTAACAGCTAAAGACTGAATGTTGAAACAGGCCTGTAGGAAACTTCTGATTAAACCACAATCAAAATCAGTGATAAAATTATTGCATGTTCCAGAAGCCCTCCTCCTAGGCATATACAAATAATAAGGGAGGGTTCTTTTTTTTTCAAGACAAGGTTTCTCTGTGTAGCTTTGGAGCCTGTCCTGTAGACCAGGCTAGCCTCTGTCTCTGAGTGCTGGAGTAAAAGGCACGTACAACCACCGTCTGGCTAGGGAGAGATCTTGATGTAAACACTTTGTGCAGCTTAGAAGACTGCTGTCCTCAGGTTATTTGTTGCCTGAGGTGGTGGAATGAGAGCACATGCACAGCACTTAGCAAAGTACATACTAACATACGATGTTAAAAACTGCTGCCAACTACTGTACTTCCTGCACTGATGCAATGCTCTCAAAATATTTTCTTTGCCAATTTGCTCATCGCTCCTCTCTCTCTGTCACTGGGTTCCTTGGGTTCAGTTCAGTGATTAATTGTGTGTTTGCCTCTGCTTCCATCAGTCACAGGATGAAGGCTCCCGGATGGTTATAGACATCAAGTTCATTATCAGGAATGGGCATTCGAGGTGGTCTCTCCACTATTGCTTAGCTTGCCAGTTGGTGTTATCCCTTTAGATCACTCGAGGTCGCTCTGGTGCCTGATCTGTATTCGATCCTAAAGAATGGGTTGGCAAAACCAGCAGAGACAGCTGATCTGAACAGGGGAGAGGTCTTGGACCCCAGACTGACTGTGGGGAGGTCAGCATGGGACTGATCTGGACCCCCCAAATGTGAGTGTCAGCGAGAAGGCCTGGGCAACCTATGGGGCCCTGAGCTGTGGATCAGTGTCTATCCCTGGTATACAAACAGTCTTCGTGTGCCTATAGCACAAAGAGGGATGCTCTCTCAGCCTGGACTCTTAGGGGAGTGCCTGGACCCTACCAAGAGTAAAATGACAGACTCTAGATATCCCCTATGTGGAAGGATTTGGCAATAGGGTGGGAGGCTGGGGGGGAAGGGGAGTGCGGGAGGGGGGAGGGAGAGGGAACTGGGATTGACATGTAAAACAAGCTATTTAAAATTAAAATAAAAAATGATAAAAAAAGAAAAAATAAATAAATAAAAAATATTTTCAAAATATTCAGAATAATATGTCCATATTAGCTTTCATGTGATCATTTTTTTCCATTAACATAGCTATATTGAACAAGTTGACAAAAAATTTTAATACATTTAAATACTGGAAAAACTTGTACCTTCCGGAAATTCGAAGTGATAATCACACTAAGACAAAGTGTTACCCTTTCTGGAGTCTTGTGAATCACCTTCACAATCTCAGGAAACTTCCGTGGTCAACTTTACAAGTATAATTAATTTCCTTCCTTGAATATTAAATGATATTCTATAAAAGGAAATTAGCTGCAAGTCATTGAATTTACAATAAACTTTAGGAAATTCCTAGGAAAATTTATTGAACATCTTTGTGCATTGATTCATCTTCCTATTGTTGAGGATTATACCTCCAAGGCGGAAGAGAATTAGCTCAGGTATTAGTACACTTTTCTGTGCAGATTAGAATAGATTTTAGCTAGCTACCTCATCTGAACAAATGGCAGATGCTCTCTATGAGACTGAGCAATTTAACAGCCCGCTGTGTCACAGATGCACAAATTCTAATAAATGCAGAAAGCAATCTTTCCAAACACAGAAATTCAGTGTTAATTACATTTTTGTTCTATAAATTATATGTTTTGCAGACTCTTAATGTTTGACTGTTTACCCACAGGCCATTATGTCAATTTATCGTCTATCTATGTATGATAAAATTCTGAAAATTTTGTAGAAAGTGAATTTCTTTGGATTTGTTTAATAAATTAAGAGTTTTAATGGTAAGGATGCATTTTTTGGCAGAGCATGATATATGCTATGAAATGGAATCACTTTTCACATTTTTAAGGAAATCTAGGTCCTGAGGGTCTAAGAGATTAAAACTAGTTCTGATTTCGGTATCCTATTCTTTAAAAGGATGGGAGAGTCAGAGTCAGAGCTGTTAAGTGTTTACCAAGCATTTTTCACATTCACCAATTAAAACGGCATTCATTATCAGGAGTCAAAAATGCCATTCTATGAAACTTAGTGAAGAAAATGCAGAAGGTCATCTTTACATAAACATGTGGCACTGTTATATAAGAAGACACTTTGAATGTAAGATCACATTAAGATTCACTTCTTTGAATAAAATTAGTTTTTAACATATGTGATTATTCTTTTGTACTGAAACACATCTAAAGTAATACAATATTAAAATTTCTTTGACCTTCTTGATTTCGGTATGGATAGATTATTATCTTATGAAGAGACTCTTTGTTTACATCTAAAGTACATTAAGCTAAGCTTTCTTTGCTTCTATGGGTTTGAAATTTTTTACCAGAATCTTAAAATATCCTGTTATATAGTGATTATTTCACAAACTATTTAGGGAGAATATTAATCTATTACTTTACCAAAATATCCCAAGGCTTTGATTTTTCCCAGAAACCCCTCTCTATTCTTTCATAGTCAAGACATTCTTTTGAAATGTACATACACTCAACATCAACATTTTTGCCATTCTTTTTCTTAAATTTAAATCAGTACAAATATGCCTACTCTAATTTGTCTAATACTTTCTCCATCAGACACTCAAATATTATTCACTTTATTTTCATTTTTCAAGGATACTATTTTTTGCCACATTATAATTTATGATTGCCTCATGCCTATTTTTGTCCTTAAAATAAAATAAAAGGTGTCTGAGAAATGTATTTTTTACATATAGTAATGTAAATAATGATGATTGACAAAGACATATATGGCTTTTAGAAGATCAAAACTAGTATTGAATATGCAGAAATGATAGCATATTTATCATGATTTTGCTTTTTAACAAAAATGTATATGGTATCTTAAATAACAGCAGTTCATTTGAGTAACACTTTTGCTTTGAACTTTATTATATACTTAAATTCTTTTAAAAAATGATTGATAATGACACATAAGGTTTTGTAAATAAGTATTATAGTGACTAATATAGAATGCCTTTATTTTTTGGCTAAGCATGAAAAAAACATTGAAATTACACAGCTAAAAATGTATTTAAAACTTATGTTTAAATCTTACACATCAGTGTGTTTTATTTGAATGTCAGTACTAAAAGCTTCTTCATTGCCTCAGTGAGTTGGTAGTTTATTTTTCAGTCATTTTCATTGATAGAAATTGCATCCTGTTAATTGTTCTCAGTTTGACAGCTGTTTCTTTAAACATATTCAAATTTGAATTCCAGTTAAGAATTCTCTACCTCTGCAACCTCAGTCAACATTGCAGCCCATAAAACAGTATTTTGTGCATACAAAGTCTGCTTTGGTGGCACCTTTGTGGTTCTCCGTTTCCTTCTCAAATTCTTCAGGAGATCATAAACCAGATTGTTAATGCCTTCAGATTCATCCTGTTTGCAGATAGCTGTCTTAAAATGTGCTCCACACAACTAATCAAGGGCATTCAGAGTCACCCCTCAGAGCACAAAGGCCTTGGGCTATTTGAGTGATGGCAGTTTCAAAGAACAAAACGCGATTTTCTAAAATTTCTGTTTGCACTGAAACTGACAGGTGGTAATCTTTTATAGCCCTTCCCCTCCCTTAAAGTGACTTATGCCTCATGCCATTTCTCTAACCTCAAATCCTTTTTGAGAAAAGGAGAGTATCTTTTCCAAAATGACTGCCTCTTATCTTCGCTGACATAGTGTCTCTTTTTCATCAGTTTATGTCTGTAAAATTCAGAGGCATGCTAGTCAGATCGAATACCATACACATTTCAGAGACTTTTCCAAAAGTATTATTAAAATGCTTATACACATCCTAAATTGAATATATAAAGTTGTTGTTAAGGTTTTTAAATTTAAATATGAATTTTATGCAGCTCTAACTGTACTTTCTAAACTATTCCTGTATTTTTTTTGAAAAAGAAAAATTCAAACCTAATGAAACAATTTGTCTTGGGAGAAAGGTGATAATAACAAACATCACTCTTTAAAATTCTGTAGCTGAGCTTGTTGGAAACCATTCCTTAGGGTGGGATGCCATGTTCAGTGACAGTAGGACCATGATATAATCCTGGTACATGAGCTAGTTTGTTGTAGCTTGCTCCCTATGGTGAGATGACATACTCAGTCTTAATGCATGGGAGAGGAACTGGGCCCTGCCCCAACCTATTGTGCCAGACTATGTTGACTCCTCATGGGAGCCCTTTCCTGTGAGAAGGAGTGGACTGGGGGTGGGCTGGGGAAGTAAGGGGAGCTAGAAGGATGTGAGGGGTGTAGGAGGAAGGGTGGGAGGAAGAACTGTAGTTGGAATGCAAAATGAAATCCAAAACTAAAAAATAATGAAAAAAGGAGATAAAAATCTGTAGCTGATTTATAAACATATATATATATATATATAGTGTGTGTGTATATATATATATTTCTCAAAGAATAAGAATAGAATATGAGATGCAATATTAACAATGAGTGATCATATTTGCTTGTATCAAATTTACATTCTAAAGAAAACCATTTGGTGACTAAAAGCGACTGTTAGTTGTTATGCGTTCCTAGAGATGACCCTGTGCTTAAGATGGTTTGCTTCTCTTACACGGGATGGGGGTTGAATTCCTAGCACCCAAACCAGGTGGCATGCAACTACTTGTAACTCCAGATCTAGTACGATCAGATTTTAATGGATTTAGTGAGTCCCTGTACTTAGGCATACAGAAGCACACACATACTGATAATTGAAAATAATAACTGTTTAGGGACTTAAGTGATCACTCACCAGTTAAGAGCATTTGTTGCTTCTTGCAGAGAACATAACTCAATTCCCAGTGCTCACGCAGGAGCTCATGACTATCTGTTATTCCAGTCCTGGTTTATCCATTGCCATCTTTTGATATCCACACTTACATGTAAGCCTGCGTTGCATATACATACATGCGGGCAACACATGAAATGAAATAAGCAAACCTTTTCAAATGAATTTGCTATAACTTTTGTACAATAAATAAGGTACAAAAACAAAAGAGAGACAGATTTATTGTTCATATAATAGTCAACATATTTCTGAAGAAGAAAAGGACAATTCAGCTAAAATCCTAATAGACAAGCAGTCACATAAGCATGCACTAGAAATACAATATGACTTCCTTAAAATATTTCCCTTTCTTGCAAGAAGTCTACTCTTAATGAATAATTTCTAAATATTTATGGGGTAGTGACAATGTAACTGCAGAATTAACAAAATGCTTATTCATTGGTGGAAAATAAAATTTAATTTTTAAATTTACTTACATTAAGGAAATAATGAAGTTTTGTTGTGTAAAAGTTTTGGAATAGTAATGGCCATGTCTTCAGCAGCATATGGTGTGAGACAAAATGGACAACAATGAAATCAGACATAACAAAACCATCTGGTCACAGTCTCAGAAGAAGCAAACTCAGGAAGACAAATGACAATTTCCATGATAATTTTGTAGAATTGTGAATTGACCTCACTCTGTCGAAAAACATTTTCCATATCAAACATAAACTGTTTAATTTCCTCTTAGACTTCAGTTTGCTTCCAGTCAACACCTGAACCTTCCTTTCATTTACTTATTTCTCCATTAGAAGCTTTCCAAGTTTCTTGATTATTCCTCTATCTTTCCCAAATGCATTCAAAGCTGGCTAGCACACTTACAAGGTCTAAAGAAATAATGTTTTTTTTTCTAGTTTACTTCCAAAGAGGAAATGAGCAATTGAAATCACGGTAACCTTAATAAGTAAGTTTAAAAGTGGTGAATGGATGCCAGAATACTTTAGGTAAAATATGTATTTCTAGTAAATTGCCTTAATTATACTATGTTTGAGATCACTGCATAACTGAATACCAGACAGTAATAACATAGGTGACTGGATGATGACACTGAAGTATCATGGTTCTTTTGTGTCAAGAAGACATTTACATTTTGTTAAATCAGTTGTGTCTGTGAATAGTCTATTTTTCAGTAATTCATACAAGTTACAAAACATTTGAGATGAAAGGAAAATGGAGAAACTACTAAAACTTAGATGTGACAGAAAGTAGAACATAGAATTTCTAACACATTAGAGAAAACAAAATTTAGGATACTTCCCAGAGCCCTTTGTAATTTTTTTTCTGATTCATATTATTTATTTTATGTTATTATAAAATAATATATTATAATATAATTGCTCAGAATTATTTCTGATACAGGATTTAAAGGCACCCAGTAGCACTTAGGATGAAGATAACTTTGATAGTTGTTTCCTTCTGCCTGTCCAGGTTGAGGGGTGGAATTATGTCACTTTGCCTGGCTGTCCTTCTGCAATTTTTGTATTTATTCCTCCTTTACCAAATTTGGTAAATCCTTGGTAATCATATATAACATTCTTTCAAATAGATCTCTGATTCTATTACCCATGATCTTAGAGCCTGAGTTCATTTTTTTGATAGAGTCCAGTTTGCTAATGTGACTCCAAGGGGAAAATTCTGACTGTGCACACAGGAAAGTGGGAATTTAGATCTGCTTAATTAAGTAAACCAAAGGGAATTTTCAAAACACCAATGCCACATCTGTAACTAGTATTCAGGTAGAAGTTATTAAAAAATTTGAGTAGTATTTTAGTATTTTATCTGACTCCAAATTGTTAATGTCAATGAGGCACATAAAATTTTTCCTGAAATAAGTACAAAAAAATGTCTGATGTATTAAAAATACAACAACAGCAATAAGCAATTTCTGTGTAGACAAAAAGCAATTTCTTGTAGACATAAGTGTCTTTACAGGATTTTGAGACCAGGGTGTCTATATGCCAAACATATGCTTCATCCCCAAACTACCACTCAAACCTCTGGAAATGCTACTGCAACTTTGCTATTCACTTTGAACAATGTTCTGTTAATATTCTAAAGGCCATTTAAAGTCATGTTGTCAGGGACGTCTCCCGGCATCTTGATTAGATTTGATTTGTCTGTCCTTTGCACTTTCTTGGCCCTGTTGAACTTGTCCCTTTACCCAGGTGGAATTTCAAAAGGAAGAAGACTGAAATTAGCCTTGTGAACGTTGCAAACTGCAGAGTGGATAATTCAATCTTCAGACAGTGTCTCAAAGTAACATTTGTCTGTAGTAGACAAGGCAGTGACAAGAATATTTCCATATTTGAAGAATGATTCAAACTGTTCTTTTCTGCCATTTTAGTTTATGAAACTTTTAAACAGTTTTCTTACCACAAATATGAGTATTTTTCTTCCTGTTTTTAAGAATATGAAAGTTATATGTACTTCATTAACTAGAATCTATTCCTGCTTGTTTGAATTTTATTGAGACATTTATAACTTAAGACACCTTGTCTTAAATAATGTCAAACCAATACCTATTAAATTCTTTTGTCTATAAAAATATCTTAAATTATAAATTTTCAATTGAATAGTTAAGTTTGTCATTTCCCTCCATACAATTGTGTTAATTCCATTCAAAATTCAGCCTCAAATGTGCAATTATATAGACGACTTCAACTTGAAAAATTATTATATGCCCTTATGGTTTCCAGTTTATATTTACTTATCATATGAGCTCACAACACTATAATATTGAACTGATATTTAATTTATTTACAATATACTACTTTTAAATATATGACTCATACATAAAACAAAATGTTCAAATTTGAACATTTTGGTCCAAAGAGAAATCATCAAGACACAGGGACACTGAAATAAAGTATTAGTGCATAGAAACATTTTCTCTATAAAATTAGGGCTTCTTAACCATAGATTTGCCATTGCCAGCTTCTGCAAGCTCTGGCCATTGCACCTCTTACTTCATGGCAGATTATGAATTAAAGCCAAAATAAAATTTTTGTTGCTTAAGTTCCCTTGGTTCAAGCATTTCCTCACAGCAAAGAAGAAGAAAGTAAGACAGTCATCTGCTGCTTTCAACTACATTTCAAACACGGGTGATTAGACTAGTTTCAAGCACCTCATTCAGAAAGAAATGAACTAGCATGAAAATATACATTCACTTTTGGGAACTCTTGGTAAATCACACACAGTGAGGTTTTATTTTATGCAGTTAATGAATTTAAAGTTCATAGTGAATGCACAATCACCCAGATATATGAATAATTGTAGATAAATTCCTATAGTTTATACAGAAAATAATTAAGCAATAATGATATCTAGATCTAGATCTATAACTAGATATAAATATAGATATAGATATCATAAAATTGTCTTGCCTTGCAGAGTATTTAATGCATTGGTCATGCTGAGGCTTATAGTAAATAGGTTTCCTTCATTCAAGACCTAAATAAGTCACCACTTCTTGTAAAATTTACTTATTTTTTGTTGCAGTAGTGTTTCTCTGAACATTCTGGAAGCTTCTTGATTTTGCCAATTCACCCTTTCCTTTTTAAACTTTTATTGACTGTTAATAATATTTTTAATAGGCCACAGAATTTTTAGCAAAATTAAATTCTACTTTCACTTCGCTTCTTACTTTCTTTAGGTTTGTCTTATAATTAGAAAAACATACTTAGTCCATTACAAAAGGAATTAAAATTAAGAATTAAATAATGTTACCTTACCTTTTCAGTTGGAACATATTGCTTCATATAAACAAACTCATTCAATGTCTGCCAAGACAGGAAACCAGTATTCCTGTGTAGCCTGCATTCATCTGCTGGTTTACTACCTGTGGAAGAACATTATTGACATAGTTAGGTTGCCATAGATACATAATGTGTATTATTGAGATCCAATTTTTCAGTTTATAGGGATTACCACAATTATTAGCCCAGTTATGCTAATCCATATTTGTTGCCTTCTATATTCTTCGATAGTGTTATTATTATACATTTCAATATTTGACTTTCAGTAATATTTATGTGAGCATGATTCCAAAGAGAATATTTGCCATGCTTCTCTTTATTTTTAAATAAAATCTTAAGACATTTATGCACAAAAATGAAAATTCAATAAATGTTTTCATTTTGAATATTAGATATATTACTGCAGGTGTGTTTTTCCATTAAAGATTGATTGTTACTTAAACATCCATATTAATTGATGAATTGCCTTATTTAAAAATGTAGTCATGAAAATACAGTGATTGATATTCCAAACTTCTTATGATATAGAAAAATTCAGCATCAGGTTTTCTGGGTCAGAAATGAAATTGTATCAGCTAGTTTGTTCAAAGCAATAAATTGGGAAGCCCATCTTTCTGAACTGATTGTCAATATGCTAATTTAAATGAGTCATTTGACATAGATGCTATAGTATCTTATTGAGGCTGAGAAAGGAACCTTCCATTCAAAATGAAGTATGACTCAACAAAGTCTTTGAGAATTAAATATAATACATATTTTTCAAAACATTACTAAAATAATAATGTTATCAATATTTTCTACCTCATATGGCAAACAATGAAACAAAAGAAAGTGTATGGTCAGACTTCCTAAGGAGGAAGGACATTCGTGAAGAGCAGCTGAAATAACAGAAATTAGAGAAAGTCGATCAACAGTAAGAGGTCACTCTCATAACATGATAGAGGAAGCCATTATAGGTTTAAAGAGAAATTTTGCACTAGGGAAATGTCCAGAGATCTACAAGGATGACCCCAACTAACAATCTAAGCAATCGTGGAGAGGCTATTTGTGACGCCCATGCCACAAGCAACTCTGAGGTATCAGGAAAAGAAAGACCAGATGTCCAGCTGTTTGTACTAAGAGAATTCATGTGCTGCCTTCATTGCCAGAAGAGACAGAGAGAGTGTGTGTGTGTGTGTGTGTGTGTGTGTGTGTGTGTGTCTTTATTGCAAGTGCTAAGAGGTCTCTCTCTTGTAGAAGGGAGCAGTCTTATATATACAGGCTTACAGCACAGTGGAAAAACCCCAACTGGAAGAGAGCATGTTTTCCTCCTGCTAGATGTTGATGTTAGTGGGGCAATGCGGGGGCAGTAAGTCAGGACTAGAAAACAGGATGCACCTGTGGTTATCAGCTGTCAAACAACTCAGAGACCCAGTGGGGGCTAGGCCCCAACATCTCTCCCTTTTTTATTTTTTGAAATTTTGTTGGAATTGTTTGCTACTCTATAGAATCTTCCATATAGATTTCTTTGGCTCTCAGGGCATGTTGTTGGTTTTTGCTATTTCTCTGCTGACTGGCTCTGAGGACTCAAATCGTCAATCTTTCCAGTTAAGACATTGATTGGCTGGATGCTCCTTTTGGCTATATCCAAAGCAATTCAGGTAGCTTTTTAACTATCTCCAAATCAACCTAAGTATCCTTTTAATCATATCCAAGGCAATTTAAGCAGTTCATATTCATGCATTCACAATCACATTTCATACCAACCGGTGTGGCCATATCATACATTCAGAACATACATACATCTATCAGTCATCCTTTTTCCCTAGGTCATGATTAGATTATTGAAATGAAACTTCCTTAATTGAAATCTCTATGACAGAACAACTCCAGCCAATCCTTAAATTAAAACAAAAGGTTGAAAGAGACCTCTATTCCCCTCATCATCCCTCCATTTGAGAAGTTCTGAGCTACACTCAGGGGCTACAGCCATACCCACTCCTTGTAAAATGTTTTTAGAGGTGGCTCACAAAATTGACCTTAAATTTGTATCAATAACCAATCCTGTATAAATGCAAGCAAACATTTATAAACAATATTTGGGAATGTGGACGTTGTTCTTTCCAAACTACTTCCTGCTGTTAAGGGGAACTGAAATACCATGGGGATCATGATAAAAAACAGAAACCTGTTGAAGTCCTTGTTTTTGTGGTCTGAAAGTCTGCATCAACTCAGCTGTTTTAGATGTTGAATCACCTGGGCCACTCTTTTAGGTGGTCTTGCTTCATCAAACCATACTAGTCTGTCCTTACATTTAAATTTAGAAATCAAAGTATTTTCAAAATATATAAGTTGGATTAATTCAGCAGGATTGATAATCAAATGTCTTTTAGAAGTTTTTGTTCTTTTCTTAGCAATTAGCAGTTAAAAGACAACACAACAGCACACAGTATCCAGACTCTCTGTGTATTTTCCATTCCATATACTTTTAACTTTTCGTTTTATTTCACTTAATACCAGTACCTCATTTACTAACTGTTACCAATTTTCAATTCACCCATTTTCAGTCCATCCTCCAACAGAGGATGATCCCTCAGGCAAAAGCCTTAAGATTTACTCAATCCACCCTCCAACTGAAGGCGATCTCTCAGGTTCCCCTTTCTTTCCCAACCTTGGTGATGGGCGAAGGCCAGAAAATTTAATCTGGTACCCCTAACTTGGTACCCCTTTCCAATACACCCTCATAGCTTTACTTGCTGGTCAGCATTTGAGGGGATCTCTCAGTTCCCCTTTACTTTCCTGATGTCAGTGGATCAGGCAAATGGCTGGAGATTTAATCTAATCCACCCTTCAACTGAAGGCAATCTCTCAGTTTCCTCTTACTTTCCTGACCTCAGTGGATCGGGTGAAGGCTGGAGATTAATTCAGTACACCTCCTTAGAAGGTGATCTCTCAAGCAAAAGCCTGGAGATTTGACCATTCAATTTTACTGTTAGAAGTTGAGGTACCTGTTTTCAAATCTTTTCTTTCTCGAGTCTCTCCTCTCCCAAGTCTTCTTTCTAGCCGATCTTTCCCAGTCTTTCCAATTCTCTCTGGATCTCGGTGGGATGACCAACTGCAGCACCTGCACCATAAAAGCAACTCCGAGGTATCAGGAAAAGAAAGACCAGATGTCCAGTTGTTTGTACTAAGAGAATGCTTGCCAGGAGAGAGAGAGACACAGAGAGAGAGAGAGAGACAGAGAGAGAGAGAGAGAGAGAGTGTGGGTGTGTATGTGTATGTGTGTCTTTATTGCAAGTGCTAAGCGGTCTCTCTCTTGTAGGAGGGAGCAGTCTTATATATACAGGCTTACAGCACAGTGGAAAACCCCAATTGGAAGAGAGTGTGTTTTCCTCCTGCTAGATGTTAATGTTAGTAGGGCAATGCAGGGGCAGTAAGCCAGGACTAGAAAACAGGATGCACCTGTGGCTATCAGCTGACAAACAACTCAGAGAACCTGTGGAGGCTATGTCCCAACACTATCTTCCATGCACTTCCCCAATAATAAGATTGATGACTACCTTATATGCCATCCTAGAGCCTTGATCCAGTAGCTGATGGAAGCAGAAGCAGACACCCATAGCTAAATACTGAGCTGAACTCCTGGGATCCAGTTGCAGAGAGGGAGGAGTAATGAGCAAATGGGTCAAGATCAGGCTGGAAAACCCACAGAAGCGTCTGACCTGAACAAGGGGGAGCTCATGTAAAACAAGCTTGTTGCTAATTCAAAATTTAAAGAAAAGGAAAAAAAACAATGTCACTCTCAGACCCAGAAGTTGTTTAAGCACAACACTGGGTTGTCAGGCAAGGTAGAAGTCACCAGGAAGAATAGGGAGAGTATATCCATAGCCCCATTTTCCAGGCATTTTTGGTTAGGATCACAAGAATAAGGTGTAAGCAGCATAGTGCTTTCCCAGAATGGTCATAATAAACTATCATAGACTTAACAAAAAATATTTACTGTCTGTCATCTCTGGTATCATACATATGAAAAGGTGATGTCAGAGGTCTGCTTCTGAAGGCGCTAAAGTCCTCTCTGGACATTTCCTTGATTCTAAATAGTGGCTGACAGTCTTTATTGTACCCTAGCTCAGAACTGCATGGGACCACTTGTGTTATATGACGTTCTACTTAGGAGGTCTCTTCCTGAGTTCACCTTCTTAGAAGGATGCCAAAAATACTGAGCAACTATTCCTACTTTAGTATTATTTTTCTGTTAATAACTTCAGCTGTATATTCTCTAGACAAAGTTAAATTCTGGTGCTCTAGGAATTACAACCCACATATATAGTTTTGGAAGTAAATTTCACCTATGCTAGGTAGACAGTGATCACTTGATAAAATAATACATTATATCAGGTATGAAGATGTGAATAAAAATATAATAAGGATTGTTATTTTTTAAAAAACTGATGAACAGAAGTGGTCAGTGTACAAGAAAGAGCCAGGAAGCAAATTGTGCTGTTCTGTAACAACTGAGTCATGTGGGGAAAACCTGGAGTGACTAAAAAGTTCAAAGACTGGAGTTACACATCTTGTTTTGAGGAATTAAACATTGTGAAAGTTGAAAATACAAAAGAAAAACGTAACTATTAATAACAATATACTAATATTGCAAAAGGAGACATTTTGTTAGGAGTAGTCATAATCATTGCACACTCTAACATTTTGCTCAAGAAATCAGTACCCATTCTAGAACAACTTGAAGAAATGTCTTTGAACCAGTGCTTCCCAAGGAATAATTATAACTACGAGCTATAAAACTATAGTTTTAGAATCTTCATGTTAGAAGTTATGATAATTGAAACACATATTTATGCATTATTGAGAGAGATAAATTGATTTCCTTTGAGATGTTGAACCTTTCTATTGCACATGGAAGGAGCCTGCCCCAAGTTTTCACTTATATATCAAGTGAATAAAATACATGGTATGAGTTTTCCAGGAAATAATAGAATACTTACATTGAAAGATAACAGAAATAAATCATATCTTTTTGTCTTTGGCATTTATGGAAATATAAGTTTTAGGACAGTAACATTTGCACTGAATTGAAGTCTATAAAGAGGTCACATCCGGATATATTTACTTGTATTGCATATATACACTTATGTACAAACTATATACACATATAAACTATCAGCCTATTTGTAATTGAATCTGTAAGTAAGTAGCCCTTTTGATGATTCATCTAAGATATTCTAAAGCATCAAGGATGGCTCAATTTTGAAAAGCGTTCCCTTAGCAATTTTATAGTAAAACTCACAATATAGTATCAGACCTTGTATAGTGCCTTTTGTAAAAGGTCTATTCATTTACATTTTATGCAGTTCACAACTGACCAAGGCTGTATTGGCAAAGAAAAAAGGATTCATAAGACAAAAATTACTTTTAGGTATTTTTCTTCAGTGTTAAATGCATTATTTTTCTATGCCTCATAAGCACCACAAAAACAATGACTTGAAAATGATTATTTATTGCTGTTCAAATTTTTCCCCACTCTTTTGTACTCACTTTTTTGTTTGTTTTTTTCAAGACAGGGTTTCTCGGTATTGCTTTCGAGGTTGTCCTGGAACTTGCTCTGTAGACCAGGCTGGCCTCAAACTCACAGAGATCTGCCTGCCTCTGCCTACCAAGATCTGGGATTAAAGGTGTGTGCCACCAATGCCCAGCTCTCTCTTTTACTCTTACGATCTTCAGCCTCTAGTAACTATATTCTATGATGAGATGAATGTGATCAACTCTTTTAAGATTGCATACATTAAAATGAGACCATGTGGTACTTCTCATTTTAAGCTGACTTATTTTATTTAGAATCATCATCTTCAGGTCCATGCATATTTTCACAAATGAAAGCATTTCATAGTTTGTTGTAGTTGAATAATATTTCATCAGGCATAGATGCCACATTTTCTTTATCCATCCATCAGAAGCTTGTCCCTTAACTGGTGTAATTTTTATAACTATAGTGAATCTTTTTCCTTTTTACTGAAAATAGATTCTTCACTTATACAATACATTCTAATAAAAATTTCCCCTCATTACACTCCTTCCACTTCTCCATATAACCCATCTCTCAGATCCACTCCCCCTCAGTTACCCTTCAGAAATGAGCAGGCCTCAAGGACATCCAATTGTGATAAAGCAAGATATAACACAACAAGGCAAAAGTCCTTGAGGCATCCCAATAGGAAGAATATTCCCTAGAGCAGGCAAAGGGGTCAAAGCTACACTATCTTCTACTGTCAGGAGTCCCACAAAACCACCAAGCTAAGTACCAATGCATATACACAGAGGATCTGGATGCAGATTCATGTAGACAGTCTGCTTGATGTTTCAGTCCCTATGAGTCCATATGAACCCTGTTTAGTTGATTCAGTGAATCATGTTCTCCTAGTGTCCTTGAGCCCTCCTCCTACTCCTATAATCTTTCCTTCCCCTTTTCCAAGGAGAACGCTGAGCTCTGAGGGTAGAGACATAACGGAGACCTGGAAGTTAGCAGTCTCTCCACATATCTGACTGTGTGTGTGTGTACCTGCACCCATCTGCTGCCAGAGAAAGTTTCTCTGATGATGACCAGACAAGGAAGAAAGGTACTGATGTGTGACCATAGAAGAATATCATTAGGAATCATTTCAGTGAGTTGTTTTTGCTTTTTTGTTTGTTTTGTGTGTGTGTGTGTGTGTGTGTGTGTGTGTGTGTGTGTGTGTGTGTGTGGAGAAGGGTTGTATTTTTCTATTCTATTGTAGATCTCTGGCCATTATGGCTTTGTAGGGCATGGGCTCTCACTTGTGGTATTGTCCTCAAGTTAACCTGGACACTGGTGGCTACTTCCACATGTCTAGTATCACTGTTGCCTCTGTAAATCTGGCAGGACAGAAATTTGGTTGAGGGTGTTGTGGCTGGATTGGTGTTCAAGGTTCTCTTTCAGGAGCTTGCAGAGTACCTTCCCAATGCCAAAATGTCTAGTAGATCATGGTGAAGGCTCTATGCAGGCACATTTTCAAGTGGATAGTTATTTATTTTGATACCTAATCCATTGATCTCTTTATATAAGTTTTGTTATTAGACCTCTGTCTGATGTGAAGTTGATAAAAAATATTTTCCCATTCTGTAGGTTGCTGCTTCATCCAATTGACAGTGCCTTTTACCTTACAGAAACTTTTCAGTTTCAAGTTTTCATTAATTATTGGTTTTGGTGCCTTTGTTATAGGCATTCTGTTCAGTAGGACATCTCCTGTGCCAACACACTCAAGGATGTTTCCCATTTTCTCTTCTATCTCATTCATCATACCTGGGTTTACGTTGAGGTTTTTGATCCCCTTTGACTTGAGTTCTGTGCAGTGTGATACTACGAATCTATATGCAGTCTTCTACTTGTAGACTTCCAGCTATGCCAGCACCATTTGGTGATGGTTCTTTCATTTTTTTCCAGTGTAATTTACATGTCTATAGGTTGTTTTCTTTTATAATTTTAAGTGACTGTTATTAATTACAGTCTCTTTATACAATAAATAAGAACTCTACCACTTACTCAGATCTAATGTCTCCATAGTTTGTGTCTTTGTGAATATAAACCCCGAAATGACAGCATTTGATCATATGTGATAAAGAAATTAATATCTATGAGTTTTTATAACATTGTACTAATGTACATTCTACCAAGAGTGTATACAGGGTACTTCCTTTCACATCTCCTTTAGTGACTGGTAACTTTTTTTATTTTTGTGAAAGTGATTCTTCCCCTAGTGACATGGCATTTCCCCGTGACTTTCATGTATATTCCTCTGATGATCTGTGATGCTATGTACTCGGTTTATATATGCTATGCATTTAGCCACTTGTATGCTTCTTTTGAGAAATGTTTGGTAACATGAGTTAAACACATAGTTATGTGTGTGTGTTTCAATTCCTTTTTATCTATTTAGATGTAAACATCTCTTTCCTTTCAGTAAACGTTGTCTTCAGTCTACTGCTTCTGTAACTGTGGAAAATAGTTTTAGTCTGATATAATCCTACTTGTACAATTTTGTTTTTGTTTCTTGGACATGTAAGTCAAAATTCTTTCCTATTCTAGTATCTTGAAGTGTTTCTGCTTTATTTCTTTTTAAATTTTCAGATTTTCCATTCTGGCATTAGATCATTCAATCCAATTTCTAGCTAATATCTGTCACTGTTGTGAGATCTGAACCGTG